GTGCACCGACCAGCTGTTGATACTTTTTCGTATGGCCTGTAGGTGGATACGTAGTTGCGGGGGAGGCGTACAGGAGGGCGAGTTTGGTGGCAGCCACAGGAATCTCAAACGGAAAAGAGGAAGAAAAACGATCCAATGACTCAGCAAGTATGCGGGGCGTGCTTACACTTGATAGTAAAAGACAACTGACAAACGGTAGAGCTGGTCAGCGAAGAGGTGAGGCAGTCCAGAAACCGGAACTGGACGAAGAATGAGTAAGACTTCGAATGTGTTGCAGCAGATATGATGGACAGAGACCCACTATTATCTAGTGGACAACACTGTAATGGACACGGCTCGTGTTCACGAGTGAAATAACAAAAGTTGAAACAGAAGAAAACAAGTTGTACCGAGAGCGAATGCGAAGCACGAAACATTTCCTTAAAAGGCGAATATTTAGGAGGCATCCGGCGCTTCAAAGATCTACACTCCTCCTGATTCGAGCACATAGTATGAGGTTGCTACTTCGTCAGACTCATAGCCGCTTACGTCAGTTCAGCATGATCATGCATTTTGAGTGCACAACTACTCCCTACTTCAGTCACCTTCTCATAAATCACCAGTACAGATTCTATCCCTAGGTGATAGTGATTACTTTCAACGTCCTGGTTTGGAGCCGGCTCCAGTTCGTATGCCCACTCGTTTCGGTCCCCAAACCAAGACGAAGCTATCTACACCTGTTACGGCAAATCCACTGAGTAGTGCGCAATGGGGGTACGAATTCCCAGAGTTCCTAATCCAAAGTTAAGCCAACCAAATCCCAAAAATTTGGTTGCTAAACAATGAATGTATATTTAAATGGCAAGTGATGTTTGTGAAAATTGTTCTTCACAGAAAAATATATGCGCGAATTTTCGTTACAGACCTTCAATTTTAACAGCCGCCGCGGTTTCTAGCCGAAACGAAACGCGATGGTGACACCAATCTAGTCAAGATAAATGAATAAACAAATAATTTTTTATTCTCATCTTGGTAATTTAACATGAGAGAACCCAGTTTATATGCATCATCACATTGTTATGTGTTGATATGCTCACCATGGTTACACAAACAAGTCAAATGAAGCAAAAAAACGAAAGAATGTTTTTGAGTACATTACAAGCGTTAAAATTAAAAGTCACGCAACAATACCTAGTCCAACCCTTCTATGTTTTGTGTTCACATCCAATTGCTGTCTACCTTAAGGCTTGCTCAACAGAAGGGACTATTTTGAGATATACGCGAACAATCGTTTCTACATACTGTCCAGATATTTAACACTAACACACCTATAGTAAATTCAGGATTGTACGAAGGAAAAACTCGTGGTTGTCACTGCTATTGGAATCATGAAATGTCGCGACTTCCAAAGCTGTTGAAATTAATAATTTTAGCGGCAAGGCCTACCAACAAGACTTTGTTGGCCGCGATTCCCAGTTTTCACAAGGCATTTTTATTAAATTCTTCCGACTTTCCTCTGCTTTACTTTCCCGTCTTCCATTCTTCTTTCCCTTCTGTGGATACCGGTCTGGAATCAGGTACGGTGAGAATGACGTCCACCCATTCAAACTGCCACGGGAAAACCATGCTTTTTCGACCCACAGCGAAGTCAATAAGTGCAGAAATAACATTCCATAACCTCATTGGGATCATTATCTTCATCAAATTACAAGACTGCACCCTGAAAACTGTGACCTAACAACATAGTGTTGTGTTCCTGGTGGTTATACACCCGACGAACGTTTTAGGTCGAACAGTTCGGGCTATGCTGCTTCTGAGTTCCTTGTTATGAAAAACACTCATTTTACAGGTTCTGCAGGCTTTATACTCTTGCTTACCTTTTAGTGTTCCATACAATTACTTGCTGTTTTGCAACGCAGGTGGTGAGATTCGCTCAGTAAGCAGCCCATGACCTCTTCTTAGTTTGCACTCATATTTGTTGATCGCCCCATGATTACAATTAAATGAATTCCTACTTACGGTGAATTAAACCAACTTACGTATGGGATGAAGATATTCTGCTATTTTGAGCACACAAGACAGCGATTCAGGCAGTTTTCGTGTTGGTAAACTGTATGACGTGCGTCGATGTTTATCTGAATATTTTTGCGCTCATTACGGATATTACGCTCCTGACCCTAACCAATGTATTATCAATTCGTCATTTGTCTGTCTTCTTTGACTTTATACTCTTTATTTATTTTTGTTTTACTGAGACTTAGCATGCATCCTCCACTTTTTTCATGTGATGCTGTACTGTTGATGACGTGGCGTCGTTTTACTGCTCCCGATATTTTGTTTTGGCCCGACTTATGTTTACGCTGTGATTTGACTGCCTATCTTTGGCTGGCTGCCTGAAAGGTTCATTCATTAATTCGACTCTGGTAGACAGAGATTTTGGTCCTATTCTGTTTGGAATATTCTTACTGATTCTAAGCACGTAATCACACCAGAGAGCTTCGGATCACACAATTGCCCAGCGCCACCGTTACGGTATTTTTGTGATCTCGATATAACTTATTGTTGTTCGATAGTGCCAAAGATTTATTAGAAGTCTATTACCGAATCGTGTTTTGATACTAGTGAACTGTACAGTAGAACACAGAAACTTATCTGGATGGCGTTAATTTGGCCCGTTTGGATTGTTCCCCAGGTTCAGACCAAAATAATTGGATTTCGGTCGTTATAGGGAGCATGAATGAAATTCAACCCTGTGAAAAATTGACATGTGTTATCCGTCATTTCATTGTGTTCTGTACATTAACTTTACTTTTAAACCCGCTGATTATCTTCAAGCAATGAATCTGTATCGGCCTTAAATTTCAAACTGGTTTGCGTATATAATGAAGCCTGGAAACTGGCGTGTACGTGTACTTACAAGAATAAGTTACTATTATTCCCTTCAGTTGGTAGACGGCCTGATAGGCAGTCGTTTACTTTAACCGTGTGAAAACGTTCATGAGGAAACAATGTGATCCAGTTGTGTAGGGAGTTTGCCATGCCAAGTGACCTAAGCTTCAGAAGCAGCCCCTGTTGGGGCACTCTGTCGAATGCCCTCTTGAAGTTGAAAAACAGTACAGCAACAGAAAGTCCTGGATCAGGCCTCAGGGCTATATGTATTGGAGATAATCCAGCATGCAGGTGTCACAGGATACAGTTTTCAGGAACCCATGGTGCGAGGCAGATGGCAACTAGTTATTGAATAGGCAATCCGTGACCCCGTTCTTTATGATTTTTACTCATCACTTTGAAAACAACAGATGTGAGGCTGGTCGAACGGCGATTATCTAAATATGCAGTTTGGTATGAACTTGTGATTTGAAAGGGTAGAGCTAGTTATCAAGATGGCTGAGTAGCATGACTTGTTGGGTGAGATGGGCTTGACTTTTCTGTCTGATAGTTTCCTGCGCAAATCGAGCACCAGGATGAGCACAAACGTTGGACCTGGCAACTAATGAAGAAAAGTCATGCTGCCTAAGGAGGCAGGTAGTGTGTCTCCGAGGCGGACTTCAAAGAGGAGTTGGAATAAACAGGATCATGAAGCAGCGCCATTTCTGGTGCAAAACATTCGCAGTAATTCCATAAAGCAACTGCTTCAGTGGATGCGCTGCTAAAGTAATCTTCCTGATCTAAACATCTTAGTGAAGGCCGAAAGTCCTTCCAGTTAATGCCACAGTATTTTCTGTGCTGTGGTGGCCTTCCTCTGGGGGTTAACAACAGGTCCAAAATTTGAGCGAAACACTAAAACACTGTGGTCACTGCCTGGGAGTCGATGGCCGATATGTACCACAGAGGGAACTAGGTTGTTAGGGGAAACTAAGTCTAAAACATTATACGGTCTGGTTGGACTCTAAACATACTGAAACCACCCATCGAACTCAGAACAGTGGACGAAATATTAGTGTTGCTAGGGGGCTTTTGTCGGGTGCCAAGAAATTCCTATGGCATTAAAGTCCCTGCAGATAATCTTACCCGAAAATGGCATACAGGCCATAAACTTTGAGGTCTGTGACGAAAACTTGTCATACTCAGGAGGGGGATTTGAAGGACGATACACGCGGCCAAAAAGGAGGGACGGGCACCTCACAGGTTTCAAGATAACTCACACAGAAACCTTTATTATTCTTAGCCCCGGAATACCACACCAAGTTGAATATGCACATGAATTAACGTACACAAGACACCCGCCCCCACAGCCATTCATCCTGTCACCACGAAATAGTGTGTAGTTGCCACAGCAAATTCTCACTTCAGAAATGTCCGAGTAGCTCCATACTTTGTATATCATAGCTATGGACGGGGAGCTTAAAAATGCACGTGAAGTCACGCTGGGCATCTTATTGAAGATTGAGTGAGTATTTATTAGACACACAGCTCACTGTGCTATCCTCGTTCCAATTTTCGTGAATTCCTGAGAGTTTTCGACTGCGCAGTCACCTGGAGACGCTGTGTAGGTCATCTTAGTCTCCGTGGTATACTGGGTTTTGTTCCATTCATTCCTCAAACTGTTTTCTAGTTGGCTCTTGTATCTCGCCGCGAAACAAGATACAATTTGCAAGAAAAAATATCTAAAAATAGACAACTACCTCCTTAGCTATAAGGAGGAAAACGTGAAGACTTCTGCAACCAGCGACGGAGTATAACTAACATAAGGAATCAAGCCTTCAGACCTAGAAGCAGGAGCTCAAAAACTACAAGTTTCTTCTGATCGAACTACTGATGTTGGATATTAGGCATGTTAATAAGAGGATACAAGGGTCACTGGATAGATCAACTGTTTCAGAATCCACCAAAAACTATGACAGTTCAAAAAGACCCAGAAGCGTGATGTAAGAGACCAGGTGGTCTACACAACATCATACCCAGACATTGGACATTGAGTGTCCTGAAGATTGTTTGCACCCATTGATTAGTTCATATCTGTGCCAAAGGCAATTTTTCGAAACCGTCCCCGTCCTATTGATTAAATATAGGATTATTCTATGGGGGGCGAGATTAAAAGTTAACCCTAGGTGTTATCGTGCTCAACACAGGTTGTAGTGTTGTTTGTAGAAATATTAACACCTTCTGTGTTTTGTATTAATATTCTTCCGGTTTGCATAGTTTTTTACAATTCCATTTGTCACTAAATTGTATTTAAAACCGTTTGTTCGTGTGTAAAGTGTTGCTACCATGTCTGCACTTCCACTTCTTAGGCGGAAAGTAAGTACAATTATTCAGTAGGAATGATGCTCACAGGTCACAGTGAGTTAGTTGAGGCTTCAAATTACATCCGAAAGGATTTTCCATTGGTTTTTTCACTTCAGAGCTTTTGCATATAGGACACAAAATACGTATTTTCAGACAGAATGCTGTAACACCTGAGAATAACTTTTGGCCTCACTCTTCTATGGGTTTTTACTGTCGAGTAGCCCTACTTCAGTGTCATTTCCCAGTCTTTCCACCGACAAAAACCCCTGTGATGTTGTATCATTCAGCTCAGTGATTCAGTATAATCTGATGATCAGAATTCTCATTGCGTATCCTGCCGACAGTCGTAGAGAAACGCTATAGGGAGATGTGCGCCAGTGCTCAAACTACTGGTGTACTACAGGCTGACAATTGGTGTCCGGTTGGTTATGCAACTTCCTGGTCTGACTTGATGATTTGAAAACCCTTCATTCTTTATTCTTCAACCGTTGGTAACTGCGTTACATCTTACCACTATCCAACAGAGTTTTCTGGCTTGGTATGGCCTTCAGGGAATAGGCATCCCATCATTATAGCCCGTTGGGTCACTGTGATATGCAAGCCCGACCATCATGTCAGGGCAGCAGCTGTTGGCCAAGAAATCAGTGGCCGGACTAGTTGGCCACAACTTGAAGCTATTGCAAGAGAAGAATTCGCCTTTCTATCGGTTTTCAGATGTAGAGTCTGAAATGATCATTTACGGAGTCCGTTAATATCGTCGTGAGTAATCGTTGGAAAGCAGTGTCTGAATAGAATAAACACGCTAGTTTTAGATTATTAGGTGGGTGGAGTGGTTTTTAGATAGGTATGATGGGGACACGCTCCTTACTATAGAAATAGAGACAAACATCAGCTCATGCTTCTTAGCGCAACTGCAGTAGTTGATCAAAAATGGAGGAGCCCAAAGCAGTTGGACCAGTTTGATGTCTCCCACTGAAAACGATCGAAATTAGCTTAAGAGAAATCAATTATTCTGTATATTTTGACATATTTCGGTGCTGCCTTACTGGTCTCGTCAAGTGCTTACTTTATAGTTTGTCATATCATGACTGAATTCACTTCTGGCTCTGGAAGTTATGCTACTTGCAGTACTACCGTAATATAGCTCAGCAACCGCCTTCACATCTGCAAACTACTCTATCATATGTTGACTGTGTTGGCACTAGTAATATTACCTGTTTGCATAGTCCTTTCTACGTGTAGTGGGTTTCTCGCTCAAGATCCACAAGTTGATCATCTTTTTAAGCCAATAAGCCAGTCTTACACTCAAGCACGGGGCTCCTTCAGAATTACTTCAACTTATTCTGTTGATATTAAAGAAAGGTCACTAAATATTTTTATTTGTATTTCCCCTGAAGTGTATGACAAAATAAAATTGTTTTGGACTCATTGTGAAATACAAAAACCAAAACAATGGATGTCGTTTACCCAAAGCCCAAAAATTCCCAAACCATCTAATCCTAACTTGGTTTGGGATTGGTTAGGAACAATTGTTATTCAGCTAAACTTGTACAAGCGCCCATTCTTTTCAGTTACCATAACTTTTGTCTTATATGCCTCATGTTTTCATTGTAATCGATTGAGATTTAGTTTTGATTACTCCGAACAATATAACAAACAAACCCCCATGTAATAAAGTAACTACTTTCAGTCTTGAAGTGTTTCAATAATGCTATGCTAATATTTGAGAACCATAGATCACAGTTCACCACTAAAATAAGATCAGGAAGTGCATTCGTCAACTGTCACGAACTTTACTAATCTGTTCGAACTTAGTTAGAACGCAAATGATCAGTACGAGAGTTTTGACGTAGTTTATGTGCGTATAAAGTCCTCAAAATCCTGCACAGTTTGGGCATCCAACGATTATACTAATCTCCCTGTCACTACTGGCCCACCGATTGACGCCAACGTTCTGAAGGAATCCGAACTATCGATCAGGGACCCATCTGCTTTATACTAAAGTGCGCTCTCATAAAAAAAGTAATGAAGTCAGCATCGACACAGTAAACCATAATACTATAAGCGGGTTATCCGTTAGCGCTTAATATCCCTAACATCCATTCATATGGTTAAGCTGCGACTAAATCACCTTGATAAAAAAATTCACCTGGTTTAAGCAGTAGCTTTTCAAAAGTTAAATGACTAGCTTTCTTGAGATCTCGTGTTGAACGATTATGATTTCTATCTGCCAATTATCGTTGCTGCTTGTGCTTTTGCACTGACAGTCAGTGTGATCATTCTTCGCCTATTTTTAGTGTTACGAAGAGGTCAATCATGCATCCATTCCAAACACTGGTGCCTGCTGAACGAAAATGTTTGGTCAGTTAGGAAAATTTTTACATCTCGTCTTTGGTTTTCCCCGATTTCGCATACTGGTTTATGGTCGATGACTCACTTCTGACACAACTATTTTATCCATCTTTAGGTTCGAATTTTGTATTCATTCAGAAAATTGACTACAAACATATATGTTCACATTTCTCGGACTGTACTTAAAAATTAAATACCACCAAACTAACGAAATCGACCAGGCACGTGCAATCTCACGATTCATAAGTGGCTAGCCAACTTCGATGGAATACGCCACAGTATCAGCTAACTCCACAGAGAAATATGCAGCTGATTGACTTACAGCCGTTCCCTTAGACCATTTTGCTGCGACCCACGTTCGAATCGAAACTCACTCATCCACCTTATGCACATCTCTCCCACCTATGGTGGGAAGGCTGATGATACTACATGGCCGCCCAAACCTCGGTAGGTGAGATGGGGCTCGGACCCGTGACCCAGTGATTTGTATTTATTTTCCTGGACCACTAAGCCACAGCTTCCGACCAATGTTCATGAGACCGTAAATGTAGATTGAATCTTACAACGTACGATCCATTTTGCCCTCCTTCAATTGTTGTCTGCGAATCTTGCCGGTGAATTGTGTTTTATTTGGTTTTGGTTGGTGGATACTTCTAGTGATCTGTGATCAGTTGGTCTACCGACCACCAGGAAAACTCGAGATTTTTAACCATTTCCATTTTTCAAGACTCGGGAAATACCATTGTTTCCTGTAATGGCCCTCAGTTCACATTGCATCAGTTTCACAGTTACTGCTGTCAAAATGGCATCGATTTCACTCGTTCCTAACTGTATCATCCTCAATGTAATAGGTAAGCGGAATGCTTTGTAGCTTCTCAATGTTACTTAAAATAAGGGAAGATGGAACACCAGACAGCACTCACGAGTTCTTGGTTGTGCACTGAAGGACCCTAAATAAAGCGCTACTAGGACGTATCACTCCTTATAAAGGTATGTGAGAGGCGAACTGAGAAGTCTTTACTACATCACCTCTATCTGTTTATGCTATATCAAACAAACAAACTCAATGTGAAACTTTCTACTACTGTGCCCAAATTTAATAATTATATTAACAGTCCACTTCAACTGTCACAATTAGTCAAGTATTATTCAAGCTCAACACAGACAAACATATGCATTTACAATGTTAACGTCAAGCAGAGAAATGTAAACAGCACACAATACCAACAAGCTCACTGTCTTGTGCAAATTTGACCACCATGTTAGTGTAGTAGCCATTGACCAAGTATAGTTACAAGGATTAACTCTTAAGTCACTATGATAGTCTCCTGTTGAAGACTATAATAATTATTTTATTTGTCCCTTGGGTTCCCAGTGGAACATAAGGCTTCAGTAGCAAGTCTCCAGTGCACTCTCTTCTCTGTAAACTTATGAACCTGGCTCCACGACTGCCCACAAGCTCTCATTTCTTCCTCTCACGATGTCCTCCATGTCACCCTCTCCTCGGACGCCCAACTCGTCGCTTCCCATCTGGGTTCTACTCGAGTACCTGGCCTGACGCGTGACGTCCCCAGTCGGTCTTCCTAGTATATGCCCGATCCATCTCCACTTCCTTCTGCATATTTGTTGGCCGATAGTTCTTGTTGCTTCGTTCCCAGCCAGAGTTGCTTGTTGCTTATTCTTTCTGGCTATTTAAGTTTCAGTAACAAGCGTAGGCAGTTGTTGATGAATGTCTGTAGTTTGTTCTTTATGCTGAGTGCAGATCTCCACACTGTTTTCAGGTTAATGAACGCCTGTCTTGCAGACTATAAAGACTGGTGCAATTCTGTAGTTACTCGGTACAGTTTGACTAATTATAAATCGTGGTAATTGAAGTTTCCCATAGCATTTCGTTTCAGGAAAACAAAGTTCGATGAACCTCATAGGATGTCTTTTAGAATGTCACTGTTTTCATGCTCAGTGCATTGAGGGTTGTTGTGTACATTATAGCAAAACTTTATGTATCTCTGATTATTTTGAAAAACATGTCATCATTGTTAGGTAATTTTTGAGAATCTGTTCAATGCAAAGATATGTGAGGATTGTGAATGAGTGTTATAGTCCCCTCACTGATACCATTTCTATCAACATTCACATGACTTAGTTTTCCATTCATATGATTTTTATTTTTGTATGTACATGGTTTTTCGTATTTTAATATTACTGTAGAAAGTGTGTAGCATGCATTCGTGTTGTCGTATTCACGACCTACAAACTGAATAGCACTCTTTCTACCTAATAATTCTTTTTCATTTAAATTTAGCGATGCGTCGCAACTTCAGTCTTCCTCCCGAGAGAAAAAGTCGCAGGACAGCAATTGCACCTTCTAAAACAAGGTAATTTTGATGTGTTTTTTTAACTCTTGTAAAACCTTTTAAGGGCACCATCTTTTGGTGGACAAGAACAAAGACCTGTCCAGCGTGAGGTTAAATCCAAAACGAAATTTGGGAACATGATAGGAAATTTGATCCAAGTAATAAAACAGTATGATGTTCATTACATCTTTAGTTTTTAGAAACTACGGATTATTCAAACTCTTTGTCCACAAAATTCCTGAGTTCACCTAATTCTAAGGAGATATTTTCAATATTTGAACACCTTGTTAGACAAATCGATTCTACCTTCCGTATAGAATTCGATGGAACAAAAGCAGAGGAAGTGTGTATAAAGTAACAAAACTTCTAACAGACTGCTAATCTTTCGTGCACATAGCACCCTTAAGATGTTAGGTTATCCTCATATTCTTAGCAAACATCATTTATCAGCACCTGGTGCTCCTCAGGCCTGGAATTCCGTTCTGACCGCATTCGATTGGTTAAGGGAAGAAATTGAGGTGCCGATAATGTAATTGCTCGTTGTTCTTATTTACTGAAACCACCTTCAGTTTATTGAATTTTCAGTGTTCACTTACGATGATGAGCAGGATACTAGTGAAGAACCACTCGGGAGAATCTTTTTAGAATTGAAAGCAGCAATTTTTAAGAAAAGATGTGAAGGCTCCGATATAACCGCATGTGAACTGGAGGCATGTTTATTTGTTGCACTTTGAAATATGTATTATTATATATATAACCAACCACCTAATGTGCATTTCAAATTTTGATTCTACTAAATTGGTGTGTTTTACTCCTAGTTAACGTGGGATATCGCGGCAGCCCTGGTAGGTTGACGCTTTACGAAATCTCTACGTTGATACGAAAACCCAGTTAGCTTTTGCCGACTTACACAGATCATACTGCCAGTGGTATGTCTTGATGCTGATTAATGTTCGAAGGTACTGTGAACCAATTCTGTTTGTCATAGTATGTGACTACGTGATATGACTTTTAAAAACGAAGAATTTACCGAGACCTCAGCCTTCACAGAATTTCTCCAATATTATGGGACCGTGGTATAAGCAAATTAAGAGGTAGACGTTGAGTATTAGGTAAAAGAAGCGGGTCAGTTAATGAATATTTGGATCGATATTGATCTACACGGCTGAGTTATCTGTAACATGCCGGTTTACCGCCTGCTTGGATACACTGTGTTACGTGGTGTCGTGAAAAGCTGAGGGTTACCGGAAGAAGATGTAATGTCGATTTGGAAAGCCATTGACTATTGGTCCAAACTGTGTAGAAGGATGTTCCGGGTGCACATGACAATCTTAATGAATCTTATACGATGTTTGCAAACTTAAATCGATTTGTTTCAAAACCAGTCACTGTGACGCAGATTTCGACCTCATTACAGTTATACTGTCGTATGCCTATCTATGTGCTATGCGTCTCAACGGCTTGAGATATTTTTTAAGCCTGGTTAGTTCTGTTGTTGGATGTTATCGCTACTGTATGGTATTGTTAATCATGATGAATGGAAATTGCTAGAGGTGGATTTTCGGATCAGTAGTTCTTGTTTTTACAGAAGAGGGGCATACGCTGTTTGACCGATGGAAGACCCTAGAAGAAGATTTAGATTTCGCCAATGATGATTTATGTCTAATATCTTGTCGCACAAACTCGAAGATGTACAGAAGACAGAAGAGGCAAGGCAGCGAAGACGAGACTCACTTCAGGTGAATGTGGAGAAGACAGAGTTGATGAAGATACCCAACCAACAACAGCAAAAAGCATCAATCACCATCAGAAGGAGAAATCTAAAGGAAGTTGTCTCTTCCACCTACCTAGGCAGCATCGTTTCAACTACAGGAGGCGACATAGACGAGGATGTCAAATCCAGTCAGGATCGGAAAAGGGAAACAGGCGTTCATTAACCTGAAATCAGTGTGGAGATCTTCCGCACACAGCATGCGGAACAAGATCCGGATTTCCAACACTAATGTCAAGTCAATGCTTCTTTGTGATGGTTGAGAGACTTGGCGCGTTACGAAAAGCATTTCCAACAAACTACAGACATTCATCAACAGCTGCCCACGCTCGATCAGATGAGAAGGCGAGAAAGAATAAGCAAGGGGAAACTCTGGCCTGGCAACAAACCAACCAAGAACCCATCGCCCAACAAATATGTAGAAGAAGGTGGAGATGGATTGAGCATACACTGAGAAGACCATTCGGGGCCGTCACGTGCCAAGCCCTCAAGGGGAATCCGCATGCGAAACAACAAGTTGGGCATCCGAGGCAAGAGTGACACGAAGGACATCTTGTGAGGAAGAAATGAAAGCTTGTGGGCAGTCGTGCAGCCAGGTTCATAAGTTTGCAGAGAAGAGAGTGCACTGGAGACTTCTACTGAAGCCCTATGTTCCACTGGAACCCAAGGGACAAATAATAATAATAATAATAATAATAGAGGTGAACGTTCACTCACTATCAAGTAGGAGCACAGTCCGAAGTCAGCTGTGGTCACTTTTAAACGAATTTCTCGCATTTTACGAAATCAATAAATAAGAGTTAACCCTATTCTTTTTTCGAAAAATATGAGTTGAATAGTGTGTCTTACATTCGTTCACTTAATACTCATCGTTACTTATCTGCCTTTCTCTTGGTTTCGCTAGTAAAATGCATAGTGAGCTATACTGTTTTGTCAGTTTTGTTCATATGCGATAAATCAAACACACAACGAACTTTGGCGCATGGGGCATGCTGAAACACCCCCCTCTCTTGAGAATACTTCATGATTTACGGTTTAATTAAAGCTGATTCCTTTAGCTCTGGCATTTTGGATGTATTTTCTTTGTCTGATGATCAACCAGCATCTATTTGGCAGTAGATACATGCTTATTGAGCGCAAGCAAGTATTACATCTGTAACTGACATGAGATCGTATATTCGTTCATTTAGTATTTGATGTCTTATATGACAGTGTATACCAAGTTGAATCGATTTTAAGTATTTCTAGTGCGAATCATTTTCTTCTCTATTTATGTGTAGAAAACGTTTGCCCACTAAATATTCCAAGGTAACAGTATTCGTTCTGTATCACTGGTCATCACCTTCAATGTATGTCTGAAACATGCGTGTAGTATGCATGGAAATGATCTGAAAGACTGGTCTCTAGTTGTGTAAACCAACCAGGTATAGCGATCTGAATTCTAGTTCTTATCATGTGTATAGCTAAAAAGCCGAAGCACCAACAGCTACATCATATGCTGGTTTCTTTTTGCGGAATATGGACACCTAATAACATGATTGACTTGCGGCATTATTCACACAGGTTTTCTACTTCCCCTATATCAGACCCATGATGATGTTCCTAAAATTTGTTATATTGCGCAACCAAAAAACCGTTCGGGAATTTCGGGTTTATTTGTTTTTGCATTTTGGATCCAAATTTATTTGTTTTGGAAGTGATGTTTGTCAATTCTATCGTCATTTTTTAGGATTATAACTCTCGTATTAACAAAGCACTGTGCGTTCCAAGCGAGGAAGATATAAAGATGTTGCACAACCGATTGGACGAAGTGAATAAACAAATGAATGCTTTAAATAATATGGAAGACGAGGAAAACTCGTTAAGGGCACAATTGGTTGAGTTAGAATCCAATATAAGGTCACTGGATATGAACCTATGCACCTTTGAGTCTGGGATACATACTGTTAAGGTATTGTTTCTGTTAGTTTTCAAAAATATATAGTATAAGTATTTTTCACTATCCTTGATATATATATATATATATATATATATATATATATATATATATATATATACGAATTTAATTGCTCATAGATAATATGTAACTAAGTATTGGCTTTCGTATTCTAATATTTCGTTAGGTTGATCGAAAAAAGTTCATGACGGTTGGTAAAATCTTCACCTTATAGTGATCTGCTCTTGGACTTCCTAATGAAAACAGAGTGCAGCTGTAGCTTAAGCAATCAAATTTCGACCAGTGGGTCACAGTTTTAAATGCTTCAGTTACCGAGGTTCGAGAAAACAGGTTGCATTACAGCCCTAAAACAACAAATGAGACCTGTAACTTAGTTAATCCTTCATTGACCAGTCTTATATATTATTGTGGCTCTGAAAACTGTCAACTTTAGATCGAATGTGTAATTTAAACAAGGGTTGCAGTTTTTTATATTTGTTGCCTTGACAGCATTTGAATTATTTGTTAAGCGTCTAAGTAGGTGGTAACAGTAAACATCAACGTATGAACCTAGTAGATAACGCTGTGGAGTTCTAATTGATGAGTTTCAGATGAAACACCAACGCTGGGTCGGAGGTACATCTGGCTGAAGAGTCCCTATTAAGGTGAAACGCGCATCGTGGACTCGATCGTTAGTCACTACTCAGCATACCTAAGTGATTACTTCACTTTATATCGTCCACTAGTCAAATCTCTCTAAAAATTTTGACTGTAGTATGTGATTAACGTTGAATTTTGATCAGTTTATTTGTTTACTGTGGCTCTTCTTTACTTGTTTCAAGTCTTCAGATGAAGAATTAACAGAGGATCTAAACGAACTGAACAAGGAGGTAAAGAAATTGGAAGGTAATCTGGCAACCGTACGGGGAGTATTGAAGGAACAAGAAGATGCTGGGTATGTTTTCTCACTTCTCTTAACCCAATGTATTTCATTCAAGATATTTTAATGACATTTCTTCCTTCACGTTAGCTTGTCTTTGTAAAAGTTTGATCATTTTCTTAATGGTGTTGCCTTCATAGAAAAACTTGTTTTCTCTTCCAGTTACTTTGCATTTGGCTCCTTCCTCTCTTGTCTTCACTGCTTGATATCAACATTAAACTCCTAGTTTTCTTTACTTCCCATCTTGTGACTATTGTTAACTATCTGAGCCAACAAAACCAATCCTAGTTTCCTAAAACCACGTTTCTAATTTTACATGAGAGCTTTAAACGTCGAAACGTTAGTTGGAACACTTTCAAGAACATTTCAATTGACCTATAGCCACGCTCCAGTTGCCCAGCATCCAGTCTGAAACTGAAAGGGACGTAAATCGCTGTCCTTCGAATCTTCTTGCAGTTGTGAAGTCTGTTTCAAACCTAAAGCGATGTAGAAGAGCTAGGCTTGGTGGTTTGCCACCAGAGACTTTTAGAGAGGTAGTAGGAAAATTACCTAGTGGAATAACGGAGGAACTAGGTAGCATATGAGAATCAGAGGTAGACTCATCAGAATGGTTTTGATCGTTGATCATTCCAGTCTATAAAAAGGTAGTTTTCTAGTGAGAGCTATTGGCTTCAGTTTAATTAACGTCGTGTTTAAGATCTCAGGGTGCATGGTTATCTGGCACTTGAATGAAGTCGGTAGATAACAAAAAAAGGAAACAAACAGATTTCAGAACTGAACGAGGGTGGGCTGATTAAATATTTACCCTTCCGAAAGTTTTAGAAGCATACGTACCAGCACCTGGAACCTGCCATATATTTCAACCTTAAGAGTGTGTTTGGCTATCGATCTTGAGGTGTTGTGGCAGTGTCGGATTGAGGAGAGCCCTACACGGGCACGTTTTGTTAGTGAAATTCCTGTACTCAAAGTATTGCAGCGGTGTAAGGGCTTATGAAAAGTTGTCATCCAAAATAATGGCAAACAATGGTGTCCACTAAAGGGTGCCCACTGTCACCATTTCTGTTTACCTTTGTCACAGACGTACTAATGGACATCAACCCAACTATCATCAACTTTACAGTGATTCACTTATTCCTAGGGAAGCAAGTGGTTGGTTTGGAATACACAGTTCACTTTGTTATGTTAGATAATGACACTGACAAAATGCAGCCTTCTGAACGCTTCGAGCAGAAACCTAAGTAAGTATGGCATGCATTTTGCATCTATCAGATTTAAGACTATACTCCGAGACTGTTTTTCACCGACTCATAGTTTAAGGTCAAGGGTGAGGCGTTAGGAGCATTGACCGGCTAACTTACTGGGGGATTTGCATCAGCTCCAACATTACTGGCTTCTGGCGACCCCGTTCACCGTTTGCCAACTCACGCCATCTCTGTCTCCGATGAAATATCCCACCACCTATTAAAGGAGGAGTATACTGGCCGTGGAGAGTGGAAAAGATTAAGAGATCATAGGCTTCTAAATACAGTTGTCTTCCTATCATTGCTCATAGGTGTTAGAGTCATTGTGTGAGCAATGAGGAGTTCGGGCGAAAGGTGCTTGTCAAGAAAGATAAGTCAGTTGTGAACTTTCACCGACTGAATTGGCTTGAAAGTGTGCTGCGCATGCTGAGCCACAGCCTACTTTGATACGCGATACTGGAGGAAGTTGAATTAGGTTGGAAGGGGTCTCAGGCTGGTCAGACCAAGATATAGCACTAGTCGATAAAGTCTCTAACTGCTGGCCTGAGCTGTGTAGGGTGGTGTAGACTTTCTGCTTGGGATGGGCTGCTGGAGAGTACGGAAGTCAATGGTCGGGAAACTTTTAATCTGACTGAATACTGATGACAATGGTGCAATGTATTCACTCTTTGACATATTCGAAAACTTGAATATTTTCACTAACCTTCATTTGTTTCTTCCCCTAGTTTTCTTATATTTATCTATACTTGTCACTTTTTCTGTCCATTTCATTGAGTTCTGTTGTGTGGTGTAACATTTAGAAACAAATGCATTTCTATGTAAGGTTGTGCGCTGACTTATCTGTCTCTATTTGTTATCAATGTGGTAATATTTTAGTGGAAAACTATTTCGTCAACAGTCAGATGACTTTGTTCAAGGATATCCATTGTGGGCATACTGGGAGTGCTAGTGAGATTTCGTTCCAGAAAATCACTTTTGTGATCTGTTTTGTGAATGTATGTAGATTCAGGTCGTGTATGGTCTTTCATTACCGTCCCTGTGATATTGCTAAAATGAAACGTCAGGGTAACGTTAGATTAGGTGCTAACCTTTATGATGACATACTCCTTCAATCAAAAGAGTTGAAGAAAATTAAAGTTGAAATTTATCTTAATCTTATAGGAATTATTAGTGTAGACGGACAAATAAAAAACATTGTAGAGTTTTGCTGGGAAATCTATTGGTCCAATTCACTAAACTTCACAAAATCAGAGAAAGGAAATTGATGCATTCTACAAACAAGAACTCGAAGAAAGGTATGAAAGAAGCAGAAACAGAGAAGTAAAGATGAAAATAACTGGTGGAATTTTCGAGGTGTTTGAAAGCTAACAACATCTGCGTCATTTCAGTTTGCATCTTCAACTACTGTATCCTACCGTCTTGAATACTGCAGCCGTAAAGTTTATACGGATCAGATTAAAAGTTATGTACTTCAGCTGACATACTTTATCATAATAGTGTTGAAGACAAAAATAAAGTTGGTAAACCGAACACTCCTTAGAAAGCAATCATCGGAAGCTGATACACGAACACGATACGTTTGTTTTGAGAATGTCATTAGACAATTACAATAGATAACTGCCTAGGTCTTAGATTTCAACACTGACAGAATTTCTCAGTTATTTTAACCACAGGTAATCTGAGCGTAAAATACACATTAATGTTGAAGTGAATAAGTTTGTTCAGTGGAACATTCTGATATATTATAATAACAGTAGTCAAAACTGTTTCAAACACAACTTGTGTAACTATCATATGAAATGCAAACACTTTAGCAGCAGACTAGTAAACAGAGATCACCTTCATAGATTGATTGTTTTATGTATTCGCTAGGAGATCACGGATTCAGAGTTTGCTCCACCTATCACGGTTGGTAAGACTAAGTGATGTCAATAACTCTCACAATATAAACGTAGTTAATAGCGTAGTGAACCAACCTGGACTTTTTTACTACGCAGTGTGATAGCAACGTTACCACGTTTACCATTCAAGTGAAATGATATGTGGATATTAAACCGAAGTAGGTGCTTTGTTTTTGGTACATCACGCATGCAGTTTGAGTTTATATTTTTTAGGTAAGAAATCTGATATTATCTGTGTCCACAATGGTCCTAAAGTAAAAGTATTATTCAGGAGAAAAGTTTCAGAAATTTATACCTGATTGTCGAATATATTTTCTCATTTTTCCATGTGTCGTTATATGAATGTGAACGTTATAAAATGATTCCTATGTAGTTCTATATTAGATTGCTTATGTGATACAGAACACTAATACAGTATTATTATTACTAATATTACAATAGTAAATCCTTCGGTCAAACTAATCTTTGGTCACGGCGAATCACGTTCAAGCATGCACTGACCAATCAGAATCAAGAATGTGAAGGACAAATTAGTTATTAAAGAAAATAGTACTTTGAATTAAATGGTTTCCTTTTTTCACTTTAATTTTTCATGTATTCATTTTCCTAGGTATGGACGGTTAGCTCAAGAATTTCTCATGCTTCGTGAACGTTTAAATGCCAGAATGCATGCTAAAGAAGAGCTGTCAAAACAAGTGGAACAAAAAGAATTAGATTACACCCGGCGTGAGGGGATAATCGCTCCAACTTTGGATGCTTACAATCGTCTTGTTGGATCTTTAAGGGTTTGTTTACACACCCATGTATATAATATATATATATATATATATATATATATATATATATATATATATATTCAGTTTGTAGGTGTGTAGAGATTGGTTAGTTTCACGATAGTATTAATTGTGACCAACATTTATTTTCATTTGACTATGTAGTTTGGCAAACTAGTATTTAAACTGGGTGATGATTGAATATGAAGTGAAAATTTGGACCGCGACCGGATTCGAACCAGCGACGGCTATTTCAGATAGTTAAATGATAATCAATGTGATGCTTCCCCTCTCTAATTCAGTTGGATTTGGATGTGAAGTCCTGACTAGGCAGCCGGTGTGAATACGATCAAACAGTTATAACACATCACGAATTTACATGGTATTCGGGCAAAAACCTTTGGTGATTGAAGTGAGATGGAAATATGATCAGGAGTCGGACCACGTAGCTCAGTTGGCAGAGCATCGGGCCGAAAACTCAGTGGTCGCTGGTTCGCATCCAGTCGTGGTCCAAATTTTCATTTCACCTTCAATCATCACTCAGTAAAAATTTATTGATGTTTTCGCCTGCATACATCAAACGTTTACACTAATTTGTTCGATAAGTTAATCTCTGTATTATATCGAATTTGTAATTTTCCATAGTTCTCTTTATTGGACCAAATTTTGGTATATGCATTTACTCTATTACTTTCGCATTTTACGATGCAGGTGAACTAAACGACGTAAAGTGTTACTTGCTTTTCATCATAAACAGAAGAATTGATTAAAAGGAGGAATTTAGTAACTGAATAATAGTGTACTCATCACTGCATCGAACAGTCTTAGCACTGATCCCCAATAGGTCATCATCATCAATATCTACATAGGACCAGGCATTACTGCGTAACGGTCCGAGTTGCCACAGCTCATATCAGTATATTAAGTAAAAAGGCAGTGAAGTGGAAGATGAAGATAGGAAAATTCAGTCAAAAGAAACATAAAGTACTAAAGGAAAGAAAGGAAGAATGACAAAATGGTGAGATTAGTTAAGATGAGGATAATGTATGTATACATCTGCACCACTGACATCGGTTCTGAGCCATGGGATCACCTAGAGTCTCCTCTTGTCCCGTGGACTCCAACCGGCTAGTATAAATCGCCCCACATGGCTCAAACCAACAGTCAAAGACTTCGTACATTGATGCCATGTTTTAGTCTGGTCACCTCAGGCCTTTTTCCAGCCTGGACCTACTTCGGCCAACATTGTGTGACTAGGCATACGTAGTACGTGTCCCTACCATCTTAGTCGATGAAGGTTCATAACCTCTTCAACTAATTTACTTCTACTCCCTAAAACTCTACACCTGACTTCTGTATTACTCACGTGGTGACACTACGGAATACGGCCTATACATCGAAGGCAACGGTGGTCAAACGCTTGAAGCCTCATATCTTCCACCTTCAATGACCATGTTTCACAGCCCTAATAGAGTCATGAGTACACACGTTTAGATAGTCCTAAAGTGCTTCTTGGGTTTTTTCTGGTTGATGTTGCTTTATGTTGAATGTTTTTATATGCTTCAAAGAGAAGAGACATTAGAATATCTCACAAAGATAGTAGAATTTATGTACTTTGTTGTGTTACTGCAAAATTTATATAGATGGCGGTGTTCATCATAGTTTTTAGTTATGAAAAGTGTAGACAGCGCTCCTCTTTGTGTCAAACTCGTATTTGTGAACCAAGCGAAGAGAAGGTTCCATCAAGACTAAATAAAAAAGTGTCCTATTCCTATTGATTTCCAGCATACCGAAGTCACAATTTGAAATGAGTACCATCTTTACATGTTTTTGGCTTGGCATATTTACTTCTGCAAGTGGTCCTTTGACTGTTTGCTTTTCAAAATACACCAGGTGTACTGCGATACTGAACCTCCCAGCACGGTGGCCACGTCGCTGCATGATTGATAGAATTAGGTCAGCACTGAGGACAAGACAACATGAAACTGGTTGTCCTTCAATGACCAATCAATATATCTAATCCAGTCGTGCAGGAGGTCAGTCATAGTCCAAACAGCTCAATGGTAAGGTCTCTGACTACAATTCTGAGTGATGTGAGTTTGAATCTCAGGATATCAGTTCCTTCGAGATTGTGGATACGCCTTGCTGACGAGTGCCAATAAACACGAGGCCAAGCCTAGGTTGAGCAGGGCTTCTTCCCGATTCCCTCCAAATAATTAACAAGGTACATCATTTCTCGCATGAACTAAAAGTGCTGATTCTAGACATCTGTTTTTTTCTAGCATGTACATTGTTTATTCATTATTCAAAGGACTGATATCCCAATACGCTAATTGAATATCATTACTTCAAGTTTTCTTTTTTACTATTCAAGGCTATAAGATGTAATAAACCACAAATATTAAAATAAGCCACTCAGATGAGTGATGTAGTGTATAGTCGAATGATAATTACTTTTAAGTGATAAGATGTAGAACAATAATTATCAATTGAAAAGGAAGACCATAAAAATGACTCTGCAAGGTATCTGCGACCAGTTAGATATAATCCATGAAAATATGACCGTTTTGGTTCTGTTTCTTTTTTCTTCACGAGGTAGTAAGAGGAGCTTTTATGTTCCTAACGAGAAGTTATTCGTCATTTCACTGATTAACATTCAAACTATTTGAACCACGCAAGGAAGGTGAACAGTCAGTTGGTGAAATACAATTGCTTAGCTTCTAGCTAATTTAGTATTGAACTTTAAGAATCACAGAATACAATTAGCTCTCTGATATGGTTGACTTTGGTTTAGTAATGATAATGCACCTAAAGGTTCATACAATAGACTGTGGGCCCTCCAATCACTGTGTATAAGGTCTAGCGATAATATTTACCTCCTGAAGCTTTGGTTGACGGAATGGAGTCAACTTTGTAACCTCTACTGGTTAGCAGTCAGGAAATTGGTTATAGTCATTTATGTTTTCACTATGAGCCGTCATTATCAGTAAATAGACTCTTTTAACATGTAAACAATAATCCAAATGTTTCTGCGATCACCTTGTTCCTTCCTAATGAGTGTAAACGTATCATTTATTGGTTGATTCCATTTGTGTACAGAATACAAAACCTTATCCCTTAAAAAGAATACTATATAATACCACTTTTCAATATGTTAAATATTACTGTATATACTCAATTAGGTTTTTCCCAGTGAAGGTTACGTTTTTGATTTATCTTTGCACTTGAATATCTATCTGTCGGGTTATTTCATTTAAAAACTATTATCATTTTTATTATTTCTAAGGTACATGAGTTTTCAGCAATTGCTAAAAGCTGTAATTTGGAAGTATGCACATATCGTAAAGGATTCGATATTTCTAAACAGATACCACTGTTAGTAAAAAATGTCAAAGCTTGTGTAGAACAATTTACTGTGGCCGTGTTTAATAACGAAGAAGTAGTTCAAGAACTAACTGAACGTATCAAAAAGCTTCAATCATTAATTGACTGTTCAGTAAGTTCCTCAGTCATAAAAATTTTCTGTGTTATGAAATCATCTAATCATAGTATTTTGACAGTTATACGATAATTTGTTTTTTGTGACTACCACCTTCAGTACAGTTGAACAACAATTCACAGACCTGCACTCCAATTTATGAGCTACATCTATTGTCTAAAGCCTAGTAATTGTATTCAACTGTTTAAAGCTTGTCAGGTGGAGTGGGCTTCGAACCTTGAATCCAGTAGATATCCATGCTGTGTACTGTTGGCAGGTTTGATAATTAGATTCGAAGGAATTTCTTGTCAGTTCATTTTTATTGGGTCACATCAATATTATACTTGGAAAGATTTTATGATACAAATAAAGCAATTTTATGATGCTTACTTCTGTTTCATATCACACCAACTATATGAATAGTGTATGCTCATCAGATGACAAATTTGGAATTTGCTATCCATCTTTGGATTGTAAAAATGAATGGAATGGCAGCCTTGTGATAGAAAACATACAAAACATAACTCCCACACAACGTAATGTATACTGAGATTTCCTTTCAGAGTCCAGTCAGTTGTCTATAAATTAACATGCATATTTCATCCACATCTTATATCATTAGTAAATTTGTAAACAAATAATGGATGTTATGTAATCTGATGCAACTTAGTTTCTTTCCAACAGTATTACTAACTTAATTGAGTCTCATAGTCACGAATTAGTACAGCGTCATTCACCTGACCTGTAGCTACTGCCTGGAAGAAATTTCCTTCCACGGTGTGGGTAGCCGGGAATTGTCAATCGCCCACATGCTTCCAGTAGTACACAAGACCCAATTAGGCGTCTTACACCTTCCCCAACCTCTTACTTTGAAACCATTGCCAACGACCAAAGCCATCGAAACTTCATTCCTAGTCTCCTATGACCCTGACATCGATTTCATGTAGGAGCTTTCAACGTTTGAACTCTATGCCAAATTAAACAGCAAGCATCGCTCTTCAAAACTCTCAGGTCTGGGGCCGTGCCTGTATGTTGTGTCTCAGTGACACGTATACAAAATCTCAATGCGATTATTAAATTAACGTCACCTGGCCATTATAGTGAGTCTTCAAAATTCACTTTAAGAGTATTTAGAGACTCAGTGTCTAGCTCTTGTGTACTCGCTGGTGTAGACATAGCATTGAATTGTAAAGCAGAAAGTTCACTTCTTGACTAGGAACCAGTCAACAGCTACCTGTGTGCTTTTCGACTGAATGGATCTGTAAGAACTAGGGAAGATAATGAGACCATCCGATGCCTATTTGTTATCTCTGCCTACGTACCTATCGATTGTAGCTTGGATGAATTCTGTGAGAAGCTATCAATTTTGCTACAGAGAGCAAAATGTTCAGATGTAATCATAATGGCAGGTGACTTTAACGCTGAAGTAGGAGAACTGAACCAATTAGAAAGGCATTTTGGATGCATTTACGGAATCCCATGCCACCGAACCGAGAATGGTGATCGTCTTTTGCAATTTTGTTCTGACAGTCACTTGTTTCTGACCATCACCAACTTCAAGCATTGGGAGAGACACTCTCACATGGCATCCTCCGACAGCAAGCCAACAATGGACAAAGCACATTTTGCTATAAGTCGCGGTTGGAGTTGATCGGTGGAGGATTGCCGCTCATTATGCAGTACCAGTTTTGACTCCGATCACGCGCTAGTACGGGCTTGTGTATGTCTGCGCCTTACTGGCTGCGAGAAACTTGGGGCAGTAAGACCCATCTGTGTTCGATTGGAAAATGAGAATGCTAAGTGTGCGTTTAGAGAATACCTAAGCATCTATCTGAACGTAACAGCATTGCTTATCCTCGGGAAACCTGGTATGATATTAGGTCTACTGTTAAAACAGCGGTGAGCACAATTGGTAACCTACTCCCAGAGGTTAAAAAACGTCATTGGGTCTCTGCGGTGTCATCCAAACTGATTGATGCAAGAAAACTGATTTCATCTGTCTCTGAGCGAAAGCTACTTAAACGAAAATTGAATAATTCTTCGCGTCGATCGCAAGCAGTGGTGGGTGGCGAAAGAGATGGAGAAGGCATCAGAGTTGCTTAACACCCAGCAACTATTTAGGCTTACTAAAAATACTGGCAAGAAAACGATGGTCACTGAAACCACCAACAAAAACGATGAAACACTGATAACCTCTCAGGACAGGCGGCTAAAACGTTAGGCAGAACACCTTGGAGCACAATTCAACCGGTTCAGCGATGCTTCAGTTGCCCAATATCCAACCTGAAGCTGAATGCTACGTAGATGTCGGTCCTTCAACTCTCCTCGAAGTTGATAAAGCTCTGTTGAACTGGAAACGGTGCACAGCAGCAGAACCTGACAGTTTGCTACCTGAAGTTTTCAAGAATGGAGGTAAGAAACTGCTGCCTAATAAGACGTGGGCACTAGGTACTGTAGGGAAATCAAAGGTAGTACCGTCAGGTTGGTCTAATTCATTGATCATCCTAGTCTATAAGAAGGGGGAGAAGTTTTCTTGTGATAACCATAGGGGAATTAGTTCGACTAATATTGTGTCCAAGACCCTGGGGGACATAAGTATCCGACACCTAACTGAAACTTGAGGAAACCAGGCAAGTTCCAGACCTGAAAGAGGGTGCACCGATCATATTTTTACCCTCCGACTGGTTGTGGAACACAGGCTGACTTACCGGCCAACGACTGACGTGCCATATTGGTTGATCTGGAGGCGACATCTGACTCTGTCGACTACAAGGCGTTGTGGCAGTGTCGGAATGTGGAAGGAGTACTGAGGAAGTATGTAACGTTGATAAAAGCTCTCTACTCGAACTCACGCAGTCGTGTAAAGGCTTACGGAGAGTTGTCATCAGGACTGACGACAACTAGTGGTGTTTGCTAGGAATGTCCATTGTCACCGTTTCCATTTAACTACGTTACAGGTATACTAAAGGACATAAACTTAGGTACTTTGACTTCATAGGGATCGATCTACTCCATGGAGGTCATTTGACTGACTTGGAATATGCAGATGGTATTATCTTGCAGATGTAGGTTCAGACCACTACCTAGTGCAAGGAACCTTCCAAATCAAGTTAAAAGCCTTCAAGGAAGCTGGTGATAGACCTCAACCCAAGTACAACACTCGGAAACTGAAGGATGAAACTACAAAGGAGATCTTCACGTCAGCCATCAAGACAAAATGGGAGACATCGAGCAACATCCCTGAAGAAACCTGTGTGGAAGAACACTGGAAGTCTTTGAAAGCTATGTGGAAAGAAACCTGCACAACAGTATTAGGAAGGAAGAAGAAAGAAGACAAGGAATGGATCTCGACGGATACCTGGAAGCTGATAGAGGAGAGGAGGATGGTGAAGCAGAAGATAAACCAGTGCAAGGATGCTCAACGACAAGAGGAACTGAGCACAATGTATAAAACACTGGATAAAGAAGTGAAGAAGAGTGCACGCAAAGACAAAAGACACTTCTACGAAACACTGGCAAGTGAAGCAGAACAGGCTGCAGGTAAGAGAGACCTGACGACATTGTATCAAATAACCAGGTTGCTATCAGGGCGAGACCAACACAGATGAAACCAATAAAAGATGAAGAAGGAAATTTAATTACAAAAGAAGAGAAACAGAGGAAACGATGGGCCGACCACTTCAAGAAGCTCTTGAATCGACCACCACCTGCACTTCGTCCAGAAATACCACCTGCAGCCGCTGAACTACAAGTGAACATTAATCCCCCAACGAAAATGGAAGTCCTGAACGCCACGCCATAAAGCTACTGAAATGCGGAAAAGCAGCAGGACCAGATGGAATACCGCCAGAAGCACTGAAAACAGATGCAGAGACAACAGCGGCCATGCTCACACCACTATTGCAGAAGGTGTGGAAGGAAGAGAAGGTACCTGGCTAGTGATTGGAAGAAGGGTTACCTTGTCAAACTGCCGAAGAAGGAGACCTCAGTGCTTGTTGCAAGAACTGGCGAGGAATCATTCTCCTGTCCACCCCAAGTGAAATATTAAGCCGCATCATCCTGGAGAGGCTAAGGGATGCACTGGATTCAAAACTACGACCGGAACAGGCAGGCTTCAGGAAGTACAAATCATGTGCAGACCAAATTGCAACGCTTCGTATCATCATAGAACAGAGCATAGAATGGCAATCACCTCTCCACCTCAACTTCATCGACTTTGAGAAGGCCTTTGACAGCGTCGACCGAGAAGTAATTTGGAAACTGCTTCAATACTACGGAGTACCGCAAACCTTTATCCGCCTCATTCAACAACTATATGAAGATGCCACATGCCAAGTTATTCACAATGGGAAGCTCAGTGATGCCTTTGAAGTGAAGACAGGAGTGAAACAAGGTTGCCTACTATCCCCCATGATATTCTTGATTGTGGTGGACTGGATCATGCAGCAAACAGTAGGCAGCGAGAAGAGGGGGATACACTGCACGACGGAAAAGAACCTAGAAGACTTGGATTTCGCCGATGACTTGTGCCTAATGTCACATAAACTTGAAGATCTGCAGGCAAAAACTAACAAGTTGATAGAAGAGGCAGCTAAGACGGGACTTCAGGTGAATATAGAGAAGACAGAAGTGATGAAGATACCGCACCACCACCATCAACAACAACAACAACAAACTCCAATCACCGTCAACGGGAGAAACTTAAAGGAAGTAACCTCCTTCACTTATCTAGGAAGCACTGTTTCAACTACAGGCGGGACGGACGAGGACGTCAAAGTCAGAATCGGAAAAGCAAGACAGGCGTTCATTAGCCTGAAACCAGTGTGGAGATCTTCTGCACTCAGCATGCGGAACAAGATACGGATTTTCAACACCAACGTCAAGTCAGTGCTCTTGCATGGCTCAGAGACTTGGCGCGTCACGAAAGGCATTTCCAATAAACTACAGACATTCATCAACAACTGCTTACGCTCGCTACTGAAGATCAGATGGCCAGAAAGAATAAGCAACAAGGAACTCTGGGAACGAACCAACCAAGAACCTATCACGCAACAAATATGCAGGAAGAAGTGGAGATGGATTGGCCATGCACTGAGAAGGCCGACTGAGGACACCACGCGTCAGGCCCTCGAGTGGAATCCCCATGGGAAGCGACGAGTTGGACGTCCAAGGGTGACATGGAGGAGGTCGTGTGAGGAGGAAATGAGAGCTTGTGGGCTGTCGTGGGACCAGGTTCAAAAGATCTCAGAGAACAGAGGTCACTGGAGACGTGCTACTGAAGCCCTATGTTCCACTAGGAACCCAAGGGACTAATAATAATAATATTATCTTGCTAAGTGAAGGCTCTGACAAAATGCAGTTTTTTGATCGCCATAAGAAGAAATCTGAGTTTGTTTGCTATACATCTCGCACCCATCAGATGTAAGATGATACTCCAGGAGTGGTCTGCTGCAAGTACTTCCAGTTTATTGATAGGGAGTAAAGTGGTAGAATGGGTCCGCGACTTCACTTACTTTAGGAGTCATATCAGCCCGAATGGGTTAGTTACTGACACGATCTCAACTCGGATGCAGAAGGTTCTTTTGGCATCAGCCTACTTGTGTTATCTCTGGCGCCGACTGGCGAGATATCCAACTATCCATCTCAGGGCAGGTATACCGCGCTGCAGTCCGTTCTGTACTGCTATATGGCTGTGAGACATGGCCGATTAATGAAGAAGACATGAAGAGGTTACAGGGTTTTGATCAAAGATGTCTTCGTAGCATTGTTTGTGTTTGCTGGAATCATCGTGTGAGCAATGTTGAGGTCAGGCGAAGGGTACCAGGTAAGATAGGTAAGTCGATTGATTAGGTTCTGAACCTTCATCGACTAAGATAACATGGACATGTTTTGCGCATGCCAAGTCACCGCCTACTCTTACGTGGCATGCTGGGGGAAGTTGGAATAGGTTGCAGTAGGGTTCACGGTTATAAGACAGAGACCTGGCACCGGACGATGAATTCCCTGACTGTTGGTGTGAGTCCTATCAGGAGACGTAGACTACCTGGCTGGGGTCCCCGAGATCATATGAATCAGTTAGTGAGAACTTTTGGTGAACTGTTGCTTAAAATCCGTCACAACAGCGCAGATGTATTCGCTTATTGACATCTCCTGAAGCTTGAATATTGTCACTAACCTCTATCTTCAGATTGTTTTTTCTCTCTCTCACACAGACGTACACATCAGTTTCATTTGAGTGAGTAGGTACAACCATGATATGAATGGGTGGAGAAAGTCGTAGGAAACTAGGGATAAGAGGTCGGTCGCGGTCCGAATAGCTCAGTGGTAACATCTCTGACTGCAGCATTGGGTGGTGCAGGTTCGAGTCTCAGACAGGACATCAGTCCCATCGAGGTTGGAGATACGCCTTACTGACGAGTGCCAAAAAGCACGAAATGTAGGTCGAGCAGGGCTTCCTGCCGAATACCTCCATCCGACTAACATTTATCTCATTGCATCGCAGTGGTAAGCCTACTAGCCTGGTGGCCACATTGCAAAGTGGTTGATCTGGTTCCATCAATACTTAGGACTAGACTATATAAAGTTGGTCACCCTCCAATAACCAATCAATGTAAGCTAGAGATTGCATTCATCACTATAAACATTTGTGCTTACCAAAGTCATGCTTGTAGCATGGATCACTCATATAAGTATAAAAGAGAGTCTGGTTTATGTATACTTGGTTTCAAGTGAGTGTATTGGTGTGTACTTTGTATTTCACTGAACAAACAAACGAAAAAACGTTCACGGTGTGATGAAATTTTTTCTTATTCCACTCATTTGCATACGTAACTCTGGTTATGTTGAAAATTCTTAATAATTTTAAGCTGAGACTTTTTGCCAGCTGTTTTTGTTGTTGAACCAGAAACGTTTGTCATTTATTATTCATACTAATTAACGTTTCTTTTTGCAAACAATTGACTGATTTGGCGCATTACACAGAGTGCCCTAGCGATATTTCATGATGTACGCTCCAAGATACGTTTTTTTCGGAAACTTGATTCTTGAATCGACTTCCTTTGTGAAGGTCAATCTTTTGCGAATGGTCGCTTATATGCTGATTTTATGCTTTACAGTTTCTGTTAATTCCATTTACCCTTTATCCGTTATATTGATAGACGATTTGAATTACCCCCATTATAACCCACCATTTTACATCCGTGTCTTTCATAACTTTTTTGTTTAAAAATAAAATAGGAACTACCTGGGGTACAAGCTAGACTGATAGAAGTCAAAACAGAATTTAGTAAACTAGATGAATTGTTGACAGAAGAGGATGATGCACATACAAAGGCAGAAGAGGAGTATGCGAAAGTATGTGCCCAAAGAATTGAAGAGTTAGAAGATTTAAAGAAACAGCTGATTCAGGAGGAACAACGTCAAACAGAGCTTAATGTACGTTGCTGCTATTTTAACATATTGATCAATAGAACTGTTGTTCCTAGACTTATGTATGCTTTTTAACTGGTTTTACTTGTCTGACTTTTTAGCCTTGATAAACAGATTTACACAACCAATAATATTACCAGATATAGCTGTAAAACAGTTACTGTTATGGCTTTGAAACTGCTATGTGCTATGGCTGCTTACAATGCATGGGTATCGAGTGTTAGCCACCAACATTCAACAAATTTCTAGTTGATTCCCCACCCGACTAATTAATAAAAAAGACAGGATGGACCTGTAGTAATGTGTATTGGGGTTGAAAGACCGAAGACAAGAACAAAAGAGAATGTATCATACATATAGATAGTTCGCTATTTGAAATAATAACACTGATTGGCTGATCCACCATCTATCTGTCTGTCTAACTGTAGACGTGATCACATGAAGTATATTTTGATTGGTCGCTCTCCAGACTGGGCTTTTCCATTTTTTTTCAAGTTGGTATTCATCATGGACTGACATCAGTTGGAAGAACATTGAAAACATGGGAGCACTGAACAGCTGTTTCGTCCTAGTATGGGGCTCCTCAGAAGCGCGCACCCATGACCCCCTCCGCCAGGGATCGAACCCACAACCTTCAGGTTACTTGGCCAGCACGTTACCATTGAGCCACTGGGTTAGATTCCAGTGATCAACACTTCTTACTTTTGTCAGATCACGACATAACGCAGCCATCGCCCAGTGTCATAGTTGAGTATTTTTCCTCACGGCCACCAGGTTTGCTCATCCAGTTACGACTTTTCATTAGAACTTCGTAAATCATCTCTCGAGACTAGTCACCAATGAGCACTAGGTCAGTTGAATTTGGGGGTTTTGTGAGGATAGGAACGTGCTTGTCATGGAACTTGAAGGCCATGGGTTCTATCTCTGGTGGGGCGGGGTCGTGGTAAGCACTGTTGAAGAGTCCCATACTAGGACAAAACAGCTGTCCAGTGCTCCCAGGTTTTCGTTATTCCTCCAACTGATTTCAGTCCATAATGAATACCAACTTTTTAAAAAAATCTCTAAATCCCCACAAACCCCCAAATTCAATTTTCTCTCTATCCTCATATCAGTTACGTTACTGCAAAATTTCTCACTCTATTTCTTTAATATTTGAATGAAACTGAAATCTTTTACGTGACTGTTGAAATTAAGACTGTGAATAGAAAGAAAGTTGCACATCTGACTCTATGTGTAACCATCGTTACGACAAAATGAGTATCATACAGTGGAATCGCTAAAAATATGATAGTTTAGATTCCATTATCTTCAGTACTTCCTCCTATACTGAAATAATCCTATAGATAAATAAATCTATCTACTGTCTTCAGAAACTTCCCTGTTTGGTACACATGTTCTTAAAATCTAACAAAATGCTCCAAAATTCCGAGTGTTCAAGTAAGTACCGTTTTGAGAAACATTAATATTCGAAGAATCAAACAAAGCCTTTTATTCTTTTCTAAGTTTACCGTCAACACTGGTGCATTATTACAGATAGGATAACGTTCAGTAGTAGTTTGTGCATGCAGTACTTAGTTGCCATGTGTACTCCACTTTGAGTATCTACATTCAAAGTTGTGATATAACACAGGAAAAGTTCTCCACCTTTCAGTTCACTAAGTGTATTTCATTCTTGCTAGTTCTGTAGTACTAGTTGGTGTCAACATTTTGACCTTACTAGTTTCCTTTCCAAGTAAGCTTTTCAAGAGAAGCTTAAGTAAGTAATTAACTTGACCCTCTTAATTGGATTAATTAGCAGATGGCAAAACTGTAACCCTTCTGTAGTCTCCTCATTTGTGAACTGAATGAAACCGAATATTTCGTTCTCACCAAATGACGTGCTAAATCAATAAACTGTTTCCAAGTGCATAAAGAATGTTTTGCAATCATTGTTCTATGATTTCAGCACTAGTCGCTCTGTTGTAAAGACTATTGTAGCTTGCATTCATTTAGCATTCCAGGTGCTTCTTTTGCACAACACAGTTATAAGCTAGTGTCTATGTATACATTTTTCAGTAATTTTGTATTAAAACAACTTTTGTTGAACGAATACACATTTCCATATGAGCCTTACCTTACTAATTTAGTTGAATCATCCAATAGACACTTTCTTGTTAAACGACTTTAATTCGCATGTCACTGACTAACTCTGTGTTCACCGACGAAGTAAAATGGGCAACTGAACTGAAAATACCAAGTAGGTTGATTCCCTTCCAGTGAACCAACATTTATCCGTCTAGAAGACAACAACAACATGCCTTTCTGTCTGGAGGTTTATTAATTGATTTTAGGTTGGAATTCATCGTGGACTGACATCAGTTGGAGGAATATTGGAAACCTGGGAACACTGGATAGCTGTTTCATCCTAGTATGGAACGACGGCATTAGATGTAGGTTGCGCTAAATCATGAACTGACAGAAATAGGAAATGTGGACCATTGGATTCCAACCCAGTGGCTCAATGGTAGCGTGCTGACCATGAAACCTAAAGATCTGATTCGATCCTTGGTGGGTGGGGTCATGAGTGTGCACTGCCGAGGGGCCCCACACTAGGACGAAACAGCTGTCCAGAGCTCCCAGGTTTCTAATGTCCTTCCAACTGATGTCAGTCCATTATGAATTCCAACCTAAAATCAATTAATAAACTTTTACAAACATGCCTTTCTCCTCCAAGACATCCTACATTTACCATATATTCAACCATGGAGTAATTGTTTCAGAGGTTAGGATTGAGACAAGTTAATCGATAGTGTTGTGAATCTTCATTGACCCAGATAACTGGGATGTATGCTACAGATGCCTAATCCACTGTCTGTCTTATCGCACACTGTTAGCTGAAGTAGGTTGAGGCTGAAAAAAGACTCAAGATGACCAAACTGAAACATGGTATTAGTTCATGGGCTCTTTGATTGTACATATGAGCCGTGTAGAGAACTGTAGACTCCCTGGTTAGAGTCCGCCTGTTGGTGATGGAGACTCTTGGTGATGTGGCAGAAGACTCCACACGTTATTTTCATACTGATCGTCATGACGAATTTCATTGTTTCATTCCTTCTTGTTCTCCTTTTCGGTGAATTACTTCTCTATTTTCCATCTTGATGATCTCTTCCTTGATGTACTGATATGAGTTATGACAATATGGACTGTTACGCAATTCTACCAGGTACCACGTAGATACAGACTGACTGAAGCATCAATTCAATGAGCTTTACAATGGTATTTCTTCAAAATTGATAGAGGTTTGTGGGTGATTTATTTGGTATTCATAATGGACTGACTTCAGTTGGATAAGTGTTAGAAACCTGGTAACACTGAACCGCTGTTTCGTCCTAGTATGAGACTCCTCAGCAGTGCGCACCCATAATCTCACCCTGCCCGGGATTGAACCCAGAGTCACATAGTAAGACGAAACAGCTGTCCAGTGCTCCCACGTTTCCACTGTTTCTTCAGCTGGTGTCAGTCCGTGATAAATACCAACCTTATTCACAGCTTCGTTTAAAATTTTCATTGTTGTTGTTCCTTTTTTTTCATTCTTATTCGTACTATCCATACGTTTTTGCTTATTTCTTTTTCTCGCACTGTAACGAAATCGAACAGTTCCACTTGTGAAATATTGACTTTCTGTTTTCAACACCCTTGTTTGTTTGTCGTTGAAGACAGTGGGACCCTATATCGTTTTTAAAGTGTTTCTGGAAATAGTTGTCCGCTTATTATGCCATTTCCTAACCATAGTTATTTAGCTATGAATATTTTCTAGTTATCAAGTGTATTCCTCTTTTACAGGAAAGACTTGGCATAATTGTTCAAAACAGAATGAAATTGAGTTCACATGTTGAGAATGTTAGTCAACAATTGTCTTCATTCATTCCTTACATCGAAGTGAGTTACTAATCGAGATGGGAATGTATTGTGGATTTTCCAACTGAATTTTTTAAATCTCATTTTTCCTATGCTTCTTACTTCATTAGATTGTTAGTGAGAAAGTCCGACATTACTTATTGCCTAGTGAGTCGCTAACGTTTGTTACAATCAAATCTCTCGCTTATTGTTTATAATTTCATCTCTCTATCTGTCAAGAAAACCTCTTTGGAGTCAATAAATTCTCTCAAAAACCTCCAAATGGAGTACTTTTTTAAAGATATATCTTCAGGGGATTTACAGCGCTGCGCAAAATTAGTCTTTCTTCATTGGTTTATAGGGTTTCTGAATTCGTTTAAAGTGCAGACTTATGGAATGATAAGAACTTTGCTTGATGCACAAACTTTATAAGGATCATATACGTTCTCAATCTTAACTTATTTTTGTTGAAAGATCTGAAATTATGAAGAAATCACTAACACAAATCACTTTCCTAATCTTGCTTGTATTGGTATTAATCAGTCATGTACTAATCGTTAGTAATGACTGAGGTCTTTCTGCTAAGGTATTACTTTTCTATAATTAAACTAATTTATTCAACATTGCATTTTCAGATATTTTATACTGTGAGTCTGTTTGTAATCGTCAAAGTGCTGAGTTTAGGTCTTATTAGTACTCATGAATAAGATGTACCTAAAACGGCATACTCTTTTTGAGAATAATGCCGACTTAGTTGATTACTACAATTGCAGATTAGTACAGGGCCATTCAAAACTTTGAGTAGTTAATGACTATCTGTTGTTCTATGTGTATTTTCCTTTTGCGCACAATTCACTTTGGCATCAATTATTCAGTTACTAAACACTTATCTAATAGGTGTATGAGATAAATGCAAATGAGTTACTGCAATACTACATTCTCGACGCGAAACTGGGCTGTTCATATGGACACCATTTTGCTCACTTAATGCCAAAGAGAAAAAGGTGATTAAATTAAACAAGAATAATTCATCCAAAGTGTGAAATGGTTGTACTTCTCGTTCATTTGCCTGCAGTAACAATTCTGTTGAGGCACGTAGTTTTGATGCTGTAATAGAATTGAAAGGAAATCTAATCAAAATGTGTCATCTATAGTGTGAAAAATCAATGAAGCCGTAAAAAACATCCTAAAGAGGCGTTCGATGGAAACATTATGTGAGCAATGCTGAGGTCAGGCGAAGGCTATTAGGTAAGACAGGCAAGTTGATTGATTTAGTTTTGCACTTTAGTTGACTGAGGTGATTTGGACATGTACTACGCATACTGAGCCTTGGCCTACCTCGATGTGCCAAGCTAGGGGGAGTTGGATTAGGTTGGAAGAAGGCTCAGTGTGATCAGACTAGGACGTTGCATCAGTATATAAAGTCCACTACTGTTTGGATGCGGTTTCTGAGACGAATGGAATTAGTGAGTGTGAAGACTCTTAGTGACATGGCTGAAAATCGGTCACAATGGCGCAGATGTATTTCTTGACGTCTCTTGAAGCTTAAATATTTGCACTGACTTTAATCTTTAAATTGTTTATTCTGTCACACAACTTTGTCTTCTTTGGTATCACTTTTTCTATCCATCTGTCTTTGTATACTACAGCGAAGTGTGGCAAGTTGAACCGTCGCACCTGTGTGGGAGGTTTTACGTTGATTTTATCTGTCTGCCAGGTAGATTCTGAGGTTAGTTCCTAAAGATCACACTTCTTTAACAACAAGGTATCATTCGGTTCAGCATTTGCTGTTATGGAACAATTTTCACATTCATTTCTATTTGTAATTAGTTGATCAAGTGAAATCGGGACAGATTTACAGAATTTAATGGTTTGAACAGTTTATCTCATCATACTATAATATTACTGTGTTTAAACTTGATTCGTTGCATTTTGAGATATGTGAAAAGTCTGTGAAGTTTGATGTAAGTCAGTCTGCATTATTTGTCGTTTACTTAAGCGATACTACAGTTTTCTACGGCAGTGTCATTTTACGTTGTAGTATGCAGATTCTAAGGAATAATGATCCATTGTTTAACTTCCCTTTAACCTTACACCTTAATAATGGGAAAATAATTATTTCTTATTTTTAATATTTTGTTTGCGCATGGGTTGACAGTATTTCACGCATACGAGTAGTCAATTTTTACATGTCATTGTATTGTTTGGATCAATGTATTTCTCTTTTTTTTTTTTATTTATTGTCTTTTGTGTAGTCGTACTTTAAGACAAAGGAATCTGCTGATCGAACCTGGCAAATGCATGTGAATTTGTTACGTGAGGAAATACAGTCAACTGCTCGACGAATTGAAAATAAAGTTCAAAAAGCATTAGAGCAATATGCTGAATGTAAACAGTAGTGATCAGTTTTGAACTTTTGTAATATGCTTATTTGTGTACTTCTAATCATACCCACTGGGTTTTGTTGTTGTTGTTATTGTTGTGAACAGATTGTTTTAGGTACAAAAGCTGTTTTTTCTACCTGTATTAGTCTGAAGAATGAATGAAAAAAACCAGTCTGTACTTGTCACATGGGTTCTGAGTAACCCGTAATAATAACATGTTTTTAAAGTCACAAAACCGTTTGCAAGCCTTTTCAACATCTTGTAAGTATTTATAAGTGAAAGAATAGAGAAAACTGTTGAAACACTTTCGATAACTATAATGTTGGATGCTCCTGGATCTCTGAAATAAAGGAAGGACATAGCTGTTTACATGCATTAGTCCTGTTCTAAGATACCAGGCTTTCCGTGTATCAGTCTCAGTTGCTAACTCATACTTCAGTTCTTGCATTCATTTGTTAACAAACTTACATGGTGTTTAGGCCATATCCTAATTATAGGCGTTCACTATCAAGCGCTAGTGACTTTCTTCGAGGTGCGACTCGCGAAGTCGTGACCCATAGGGCTAATTAAGTCTGGTGTGAGGACAGTTGCTCAACGATGACATTGGATGGAGGTCGTACCATATCTTGAACTGACGTGGGTGACTGTGGGGTCCCCACTCAATGGTAATGTACTTGTTGCGGAACCTGAAGGTACTGGGTTCAGACTGGCGGGATCATGGTCATGTATTGCTGAGGAGTTCTGTACTAGGACGAAATGGCTATTCAGTGCTTCCGGGTTTCCAACTGTGATTTAAGTCCATGGTAAATACCAACCTGCATTAAAACAATGTCTAGACACTTGTTGACCTCCGCGTACTTGTACTGTTAATGTTTGTGGCATCAACCAAACATACGGAAATAATACCAAGTTTCCTTTTATTTCGTTCATTAGACGTATCACGCATTAAAACAGTATTATTCACTGGATAGCGTTTCGGACACAATTTTTTCTCTCAGTCGTATCAGGTCATCTTGTGATATCCGTAGGGTAGTCAGCCTGATGAACACTGTCTAAGACTCTAGGTTCCGTGATCACCAGATGCCTAGGTAAAGCTCGGGAACAGCAGACCCGAGAAAACCGGGGCAAGTGTCAGACGTGAGCGTATCGGTCAGATATTAACTCCATGAAATGTCTCTTACTGAGAGGGGTGCCGAGTAACTGCACCACTCTGTATTTCAACACTGTTCGAGCTTATGGTGAGTTGTGTTTGTCGAGCGATGTCCTGCTTGAGATACCCATTCTTATTCAACTTTATCATGGACATATGGATGTCTCCTTCTTGTCACTTGGTTTACAGGGATTGATCTTATCACAGGAAACTCCTTGATAGATCTAGGGTACTCAGTTTTGTTGAATGAAGACGCTGACAAAATCAAGATCTTCTGAACACTGAGGATTTTCGGAATGCGCTTCTTACCACCCAAATACAAATTATTGCTCCAGAACTGGTCCTCAACACTGCCCGAGTAACAACAGAGAGTGAGGTGGTTTTGTGCGTTGAACACTACACTTACCTGGAAAGTCGGATCAGCTCTGGGGGGTCAGTGGCCAACGAAATCTCTACACGGGTACAAAAGGCTCGATTAAATTTCACTGCCCTACGCCATCTGTAGCTCTATAGTGGTATCCGATTGTCCGTTAAGCGCTGAGTGGACTGCGCTGAAGCATTCTAATGTATGGTTGTGAAACATGGTCACTAAAGACAGAGGACATGAGAAGATTTCAGGTGTTTGACCACCATTACCTTCGTAGAATAAACTGTGCATCATATTGTCACCAAGTCAGGAATGTGGAAGTCAAGTGTAGAGTTTTCAGGGCGAAGAGGAAGTCAGTTGACAAGGTCATGAGCCTTCGGCGGCTAGGATTTGTGTAACGCCTGCCTAATCACCGTCTGTTTCGTTGCGCAAAGCTAACTGGAGTAGATCAAAGCTGGAAAAGGGCTTGAAGTGGCCAGATTAAAACATGGAACCACTGCATGAAGTCTGTAACTGTTGTTCTGAGTCGTTTAGGCAAATGTAGACTTCCCGAAAACTTCTACCGCTTGCATCAAAAACAAGAAGAGAGAAATATAACTGTATCAATCACGTTTCAAAACTCAGGAGTTACCCTGATATGACTTAGGACAATTGCTATCCAGGTAATTATACTGTTTCTCTGTATGATACATCTAGGAAACCAAGTAAATGAGATCACAATCTATTATATGGTATCGACGCCAGGTTTGACCATTTTACTAGTGCCTTCTGCAATGTTCGGGTGGATTTTTGCGATAAACACAAAAGGCTCATATCGGTAAACTCGCTGGTCCGCCTAGTCAAACGGTTATCGAAATCCGAAAGCAAGTATTCAGATTTAACTAAAGGCCAGGAGACCAGTTAGTTATTTATAGTCTTATCGTTAGTATTAGATCCAAGGTGGTATTCATTACTGACTGATATCAGTTGCAGCACCATTATAAACGCCGGATGCCTGTAGTATGGGGCTCCTCGACAGTATGTACCCACCCAACCAGGAATCGAACTACCTGAGAATCAACTGATCCATGCCAACCACCAAACTGAGTTGTTACTAACTTAGGAATTGCCCTGGTACGAACTTGACAGATGCGGAGGCCAATCACTAATTATTCGAACTTGCTATATACCCACGAATAGGAGACCAACAAAGAGCACAATAGCGTAGTCGTATGGAATAGTAGATTTGCGAGGTCAATACAAGATACCGATGCGTTCCAACTAACTGGCTAGACGGTCGATTACGAGCAGTGCAACATAACACGATAGCGTGCCGAGTGTTCAGGATGCTCGACCAGGTGCCTTTACCTCAACCAGTCAGATAAAACTGTGAAGATCAGCATCAGTGTTGAACCCTAGGCTATTGATTCTGGAGAAGTGTGTGACGCTACACTAGTACTGAGAATCCAGAGAAGTTGTTTCAAACTTCTTCTCGCACCTCTCAGACTCCGAGAGATTTATTTTTACCTAAATGTTTATCATAAATTAACATTCAAGTCGTTTTTCATCCTAATCTTCTTAAGTATTCACATTTTTGTCGATCAGTAACAGTTTTCTGTAGATAATTGGGTTCGTTCTGGCAACTTTCTACACTATCAGGTTTCAAAGGTTTAACTTAATGGTATTAAATCATCCTGTTCATCGCAAAATGTTTATTTGTGCGTTACTTGTCGTTTCGGTAGTGTCATAAATATGGTAAGATTGAAGACATAAGTACTGTTTGCGGAAGTTCGAATGCGGTGGTTACCAAAACTTCACAGATAGATCCTGAATTCTTAGGCGTTAATTGATTTCAGTTAGCCTAAGGTTAGCAGTTACAAGCCTGTTGTATAGGTTGGAATAAAACTGTATAATTTTACGAGTTGGTGACTTTTAGTTTGCCCTACTGAATCAGACCCGAAGACGCCAACAACTATTATCGACCAACACATCAATGAGGAACAAAACAGTGAGTGATGATGCCAAACGTGGCAGTCTCAAATAGTATAACTTTTATCTCAATTTGACTAGATGGAGTGAAAGGCCAGGGTATGTCGCAGGTCTTTTTTCCGCAACCTACAGTTGAATAACACTCAACATCAACCAAACCACTACCTAGACACTCATGTAACACTTGATGAAATTAGCGCTGAGGACGTCACCGGACCTGGTGCTGAGACGTCCACGACAACACGTCAAAGCCCAGAGAACATCAAATAATCGTCACTCAATATTTTGTATCATTGTCTGGATGGTGGCTTAGTGGGCTCGGTACTCGATATCCAAGTAGCTGGTCATACTTTTCAACACACCCCCCCCCTGCAGCCAAGAAAGCACTAACCCTCACATAGTAGGCGTGGTCCAATGCCTTCTGCACGAATATCCGAAAGTATGCTGGAAGGAATCCAACTATTTTGGAACTGGTACAAACTAGGTTGGTAGGACTACTTCTCGAAAAAAATTTGAGAGTTGCGTACACACTACTTTCTCTCGTTCAAGCGCATAGTGAATTGATCGCTGTCTATATTCCATACTAGATGTTCAGGCATAAATGTTTACAATTCGAAGGCAGTATTCATCATGGACCGACATCAGCTGGAATACCGTTGAAAGCCTGGGAGTACCAGACAGCTTTTCCATGCCAGTGTGAGACTCCTCAGCCGTACGCACCCACCACTCGGCTGCCAGGGTGGATATTTGGTTTCTTCTGGTTAACTCATAAATTCACTAATACGTGGGCTTATAGACCCCATGACACGTAGAATTATTTGGCTGTATGGAAAAGAAGACTGACATTTGTTGTCTCGCCAGGTTTTGGCATAACGAAGGCCTACGACAAGTGTTTCGGAAGAGCCTTTTTGTGAGAAACCGTCTTTTGTCCGGACAGTTTTCAATGGCAGACGTTATTTGCTTGCACTATTCTAAGTTTCCCCTATTTTCATTTGGTTAACTACTTCAGTTACTCTAAGAAGCAGATCTTTGTCCCCTTTCTTCTAACAAGGATGAGTGTCCCCACCATCTTTATATGAGACCACCTCCCACTCCTGAGAGGAGTATTTAATAAGCTGCGATGCTTATTTTCTAAGTTTAAACTTTCGCAAGTCGTTTGCTGCACCATATTCATGTAACTGTTTAAAACGCGTTCTCAACTCCCGCGGTTGTTTGTTTGAGATATGCTGGCTACTATTAAGTCGTTCACATATGCACTGATAAATAGAACGATATATAGCACTTGATCTGCAGGCTAATGGGATGTTTGGGCAGCATTTTCGATGTAAACGGATGGCTTCAAATAATAATCAGAAGGAATTAATTGATCTTTATCTTCAAATCATCGGTGGGTCCCACTGGAAGTAGGCACCAACGCCCTACAGGATACTAGGTTATCCAAGTCAGCCAGACGGTAAAATTTTACCACGTTATCACCATCTCAATCGTCATGGAAATCCAAAGAGAATCGGTCACCTAAGATGGAAACCA